CTGATGTTTCTCTCCAGGATGGAGTCACAGCCAAACAGGAACAGACCAGATGAAGCTACTATGAGAAAAAGTAGAGAGAGCAGAACTTTAGAGATTGAACTAATAGATTCTGCAGAGTGGGAGAAAAGAGATAGAATGATGAAAAAGGGGTCCCTATGTCCTCCAGCAGTCTAAGCCTATAGCAGCATAACTATAATGATAATGAAAACTTGAGCCACTCTAACTATTATAGCATATGGTTTAAAGGAACTAGAGGTAGGATGAGGAAATGTGACACGACAGGCGCTGCGGTAACTGCAGCCACCATTAAAGCGGGACAGGAGTGACCAGAAACATGCCGTATGCCCAGCCCCGTAATGTTGTTTATTACCTCGCTTTTCAGTAGGCTCATTTATTGACTGCAGAAGAATCCATTTCTGTCTCCTAGAGTGACTGAAACGGCCACTGCTGCTTCTACTGAAACAATAGTGAACTTCTGTAACAAAGCTGTCGGGGCGTGCGTGCAGTATAAATTGATGTCACGTTCATACTACTATGATTGTTTTGTTGTCACAACTAGTTAAATTTTATAGCCGCCTGTGTTTGGTCTGTTTCAGGCAGATCAGCGTTTTGTTTGGAACGGCCACCTGTTACGAGATTTTATGACCCAGCCGGAGGTAAGAGACGTACAGGCAGTTTATAACCAGTAGGTCTTGTAATTCACTACTTCTGGACCCTTAAAAACAGTTTGTGTGAGTTGAACTGTTGAGTCATCACTGGCAGCTTAGCAGTTTCTAGGTCATTGAGGTAGTCTGCTCCACCTGCTCTTTAACTTCCTCTCCAAGCTCTCCTGCTTTCTAAACTGGCTTTGGTAGCAAACAGAATCTAATCTCTAAACATTAATTACATGGTTCTAAGTTCCAGTTATTTCCACAACTCCTGTTATTTTACTCTGTGGTGTCTTTTCCTGTAGAATTGAAAGATCCAGCATTTTGAAAGAGTTCTGGATGTTTAAAGGAAAAGACCTTTGAAAAAAGCAAAGATTAGTCATATTTTAATGGAATCCTCCACCAAAGGGAACCTGTGAACCATAGACTGCAAATGTGATAATAATAGGAAAAAACTGGTAAAAAAAAAAATCTAAATCTGTTTATGACAGAACCACAGCTTGAACTAACAATTATTCTGCAAATCGATTAATTATCGATGAATAGAAAAAGGTTCCATAAAGAAGATTTTTTTTTAATGAAATTAAACCTGATGAAACTAAAACTTTTCCACATGAGGAGTTCTGGATAGAGCAGATTGACAGACGAAAAGTTATTTTTAAAGTTAAATGCAAAATGCTTATATAATTTTTTTTTGTGGCAATTTTGATGTAATTACTGCTTTAAATGGATTGCTCTCTCAGCTAAAGGCATGTTTCAGAGTCTCCATTCTCTAGTTCACCATTAATCGTTCAATAAACTAGTTTCAATAATCGATTAAGTCAATAGCTTCAGCCCTATGCAGAAATACAATGCTTTCATCAGCCTCACAAATAGAAGTAGAGCAGTTAGACTGTCCTCTGGGGGAGCGGGGGGGTTTGGGTTCTTTCTTGATGAATTAGAGCCACAGTAATGATTCACCTTCCTGCTTTACAGCTGCACAAGTTTGTGTTTCCGGTTCTCCACGGCTGTATCCTTTTCTTTGGCTGTTCATGTAAAACCCTCCTGGTACGAAGTTTAACCAAGAAATTCTAAATTTTCCACCTGGAAAAGGTCTGTTTTCTGAAATATGTTTTCCAAAATTAAGAGAAGTGAAGCTTTATCTGCTCTAGACTGGATTGTTAACTGATGGCACAGCGGAGCAACCTGTTGGCACAGATGGTGACGAGGTGGACCCAAGTCAGATTATGAGCAACTATAATTGGATATTTGTTGCAACCCCACATTTTAATCTGGCTTTTACAGCAGATAATTAGATTGTTTTAACACTTTACTGAACATAAGCGGTGTAGAAATTGAAAACCTTAAGAAAATTGGAACATTTTTAAACTACAAGTTACATGTTTACCAAAATTCCTGAAAAGCTGCAGAGCTAAAAGATAAATATGATTTGTTCTGGTTTTGTTTTTATTGAAAATCTGCTGTTATTTATTTACTGTATATTGTTGCTTTACAGCATCAGGAGGTCAAATGTAACAGCAGTGCATTGACTGAAGTGTAAAGAATGTTTGAGTAGAAATATGTTGTTTCCTGCATTGAGTCCTGATTCCATCAACAAGTTGGTTCCTTAACACATCTACTGCTCAGTCATTAGCATTAAATCCAGCTCCATCAACGGGAAGAAGTTTGAGTGGATTATAATCTCCAGAAGAAGCTGTTTCAGAGCGGGGGTCCGGTACTACGTCCGAGGTAACCTCTGCAGGATCTAAGAGGGCAAAGATCTGCGTCTCTGTTTATCATTTTAATTATAGGATAGACTTTATGAATATTGGACTGTAAAGAAGAGAATTTATCCCCATTTATGCAAAATGTCAAATTTCGTGCTGTGTGTTTTTATTTTTTTATTTTTTCTTATCCATTGCACTCTGTGTTAATCTGTCGGCTGGATGAAGGTTTTTATGGTAACATGTTCACATTAGCAGATGAAGTTTACTGTTCACACTGTTATCTACACAATAATTTAGAACAGAATCGGGCCAAATTGGCTTATTTTTTTGTAAATGTCTCTTTCCTATCATGAAACAGAAGCCTTGCCTACTACCTGCTTAATGTCTCACTATATCAGCATCTTTCTGTTATTTTCACACAGGTATTGACTCAGAAGGCCACGCTGCAAACTTTGTAGAAACGGAACAAATAGTTCAGTACAACAGTTTCAAGGCTTCCTTCGTCCAGGTGAGTCAAACTACCATCACGTCATTAATGGGACAACTTTAATATAGAGACTGAATAAAGGGGAAAATCCACCAGACACCATGCTGCGCATCAAAGAGGCGTCCATGCAGGTTTGCACAGCTTACCCACCAGACAGCTTTGTGTTTGAAGCTGTAAAACCATTTAATAATTGATAATAATTTATAATTGAAAGTTCATTGAGCTCACATTAGAGAAATTTACCATTTAACCCGTCCCATTGGGGAGCAGTGGGCTGCCATTGTGCGGCACCTGGGGAGTTGTGTGGGGTTAAGGGTCTTTG